TTTAGGAATAAAAAGGGGACGGCGGCTGTGTGTGCGTTTGATGGGTGTGGAATTGGATGGTTTTTGGAGACAGGGAGTAGGCCTATATGTTGGGGGAAGAGCCTGACGCGGGTAAGACCATGGGTAAGAGGTGTTACGATTGGGGGTTGGAGGGGCTTTTTTTCACCAACACTGTGAGACACTGGGGTTACAGAAACCTCCTCGGGCAATGATTGTGTTGTGTAACTTTGACATATCTACAGTTCTGCCAGGCTACGTGTTTGAACGTGTGGGCATGTGCGCGGCAATGCGGCGCTCCCCGCGCGCGCGCGCGCGCGCGTGTGTGTGTGTGTGTGTGTGTGTGTGTGTGTGTGTGTGTGTGTGTGTGTGTGTGTGTGTGTGTGTGTGTGTGTGTGTAGGGCAGTTTGTGTGAGTACACGTATATTATAATTCACTCAATTAGGCAGCAACTAACTATACATTACGTTCTTTACTACATGAATCAAACAAATGTTGCACAGCAATGAACAATATCATACTCCAGTGAGGCTGAGGATAAATTGTGTTCGTTAGAAAATTGAGAAAAAGTAATAAAAAAAAGACAAGTTCTACACCGTGATTAAAACACACTGTATTACGTTAGGTATTATATTAATACTAAAATGTTCACACACTATAGTATGTTACAGTTAGAGAACGGGTACATTCTCAAGAAAGGTATCAGAGTCATCTTCGAGACAAGTGCTGAAGACAAAACAAGAGATCCTTGATCATAAAAAGCATAGATCTAGATTCAATCTCAACTCACTATAGCTTGACAGACACAGAGGAGAGCGCAGCAGAGAAAGTCCGGCGGTTGTGTTTGACTATCCCATGATAAAGACCTGGTCAAATGACCCTCTTCCCTCCCTCCCACGCGTGCTCATCTTCTAGGACCCAGCCATCTGGCAGCATACTTTGGCCAAATGATGGTCAGTTGTCGCATCGCTTTATAACCCTCAGACATTATACTTTAGTTCCGCAAGCCCATGATAAAGGGCCCAAGTATGAAGGGGGTTGTTGTCTGACTTACTAGTCATGTTCACAGCTATTCAGTAGTTCTGTTCTCGAGAAAAGGAACCGTTGTCCCGTGGGAACAGCGAGTAGTGAGACCAGTGTGGGTGTGTGAATTGAGGGCAGTCGGCCAGACCTCTTTAAGAGGACTTTTAGTGTTGTCAGTTGGCCAAGAGTGACAAGCAAAGGGGGGGGG